AGTCTATAAATCATCCTAACAGAATAAAACCTTTTAAAGAAAGGACCAGACTTCCCCCCAAGACCAGTCTTCTGAACAGAAGCTAGCTAAAGGCGGTGGATACAATGAAGAGCGTCGTGGGCAGTGAGTGAGGAATCGAGTTCTGACCCTACCGTGGGTAAGGTGTACCAGTGTGTATTCTCTGAGAGTCAGTGAAGGTTAAGCCACATGTAACAACATAAATCATATAACTATATAAACGTTAAAGTATCTATCTTGTCTATATGCAAGTGTGTTGCATAGTGCCAGAGAGGGTAGGTACTCAATAACCATTCCCTTTGGCCATTTCCTGAACCTTCTTTGATTTACAATTTGGTGATTGGGCTTAGAAACAATTCTAAAGGGGTGGAATGCTCAGGGCCTGAGGACGGGGCTGAGGTTCCAGATCAAGAAATAGCTGAGTCAGGTAAGGGATGGCAGTGGGAAGTGCTGGTAACCGTGCTGTAGATTGAACTGAACCTTAATCCCTATTGTTAACAGTGTTAAGAGAATGGAAACTTTGGGCTGGCTGGTTAGCTCAGTTGGTTAGAACACCACCTTGTAACACTAAAGTCAAGGGTTTGGATTTCTCTGCCGGCCAGCTGCCAAAAAAAAAAAGTGGGAAATCAGATTATGGCAGTGTTGAAAGGTGGGCTGTCTCAGAGGGGATTGGATTGTGAGGACTGTGCTCTCATGATGGGTTAATGGAGTGGTTAATGGGTTATCATGGAGTGGCTCTGGTGGCTTTTTATAAGAGTGCGTATGTTGGAGAGCTCTTGCCATGTGATTGCCTGCATCATCAGAGGACTCCGCTGAGAGTTCCCACCAAGAAGGCCCTCACCAGGTGTATTCTCTAGACCTCAGACTTTCCAGCCTCCAAAACTGTAAGAAATAAATTTCGTTTTCTTATAAATTACCCAGTTTCAGGTATTCTGTCATAAGTAACAGAAAACTAATACACATGACTTTTGGGAAATAAGATTTCGGGGGGCAGGGCATGGCCAGTGAATGCCAGGTGTCTGGAAACACAAGAAATAAATAAAAAGCCAGAGGTTGTTGGGAGGGAGGGGGAGAGGGAGGGGGAGACGGAGGGGGAGACGGAGGAGGGAGGGAGGTCTCGGTAATGGGCCACAATAATCAACCACATTGTATATTGACAAAATAAAATAAAATTTTAAAATAAATAAATAGCTTTCTTGAGATATACATTAAAAAAAATTAAAATTCTAATGCCTTCTCCCACCCTAACTCTTCTATCTTCAAGATTGTTATTGCACCATCCAGGGCTCTGGTGCCTCACTTTTGACTTCACCTAGCATCTCAGTTTGGAAAGATGTCCTTTCCAGTAAAGGATGAACCTAAACCTTATAAATGCCCGGATCAGTGTCACTGCATCAGCCTCCTCACTATAATCTCTCTCAAATCCACTGGCCAGCAATGATTCTTCTATTATGCAAGTCTGACTGTTCCCTACAGAACTATGTAGGGGCTCCACCCAGATCCTTCTTGGGGGGATCTTTTTGTTATTTCTGTG